TGTTTTCCATTTGAATAACTTTTTTTTTAGTATTCCAGGATTATTTCCATCGATTTTCCCTAATAATTATTTTTTTGTAAATAATAATAATATTTAAAATCTAAGAGAGGCGGGGGGGGGAAACCTCAGAGCGAACCCTTTTTTCGAGGAGGAATGGGGTGGTGGGGGAAGGTTAAAGTTTTAGCTATTAAAAACAAAAAAAAAGAAAATTTTTTTGTTTAAAATAGTTAAGCTTTTTTCTTTTTTCTAATTTTTTTTTGTTCGTGTCAACAGACAAAAATGTAAATAATAATTTCAATTATTATTATTATCATAAAATAACTTTCACACAATTTTTTTTTTTTCAAAATGTTCGTTATATTAATTTTGTTTTTGTTTCTCTATGTTTTCAGGTCGTTGTTTCAGAAGAAAATGAACCGGAAGTAATTGATATAATATTTAAAAAAAAAAAAATAAAGGAAAACGAATATGAAATCATATGTGATGAGGGAAAACGGTTCATCCTAAATAATTTACTACTACAAGAAAAAAATAATAATAATAATAATTTATTATTATCAATCCTCATGTCTGTATTTTTGAGTTTAATTTTAACAACGATATTTGGTAAAATATTATTGCCACATCGTGTGGAGCTCATGAATTTTGGAGCAGAAGCAAGCGAATCACCGGAAAGAGAATGTTGCGATCCAATTTATCCACTTTTAACACCAACGGCTACGACAATATTAAATCCAACATCTTTAGCAACAACATCCCCTGGATTTCCCGGTGAGTTTTCTTTTTTTTAAACAAAAATATATTTGCGTAATGGAATAATAATCCGATTATTTATTTATTTATTTATTTATCTCGTGCCACGTTTGTTTCATTTGAAAATTTCCCTTCTTTTTTTTGTTTGAAGTTTATTATTATTATTTGTTTTCTCAAAGGGAAAACCGTTCGAACGGTTTTGTTATCTTTTAATTTATTAAAATTTTTTTAGCGTATGGATCGTATTATTTAATTTTTAATAATTAATTACACGATTTTTTATTTATTTTCTCTTTGACGACGACAAACATTTTTTTTTTTTTTTTATATAATCCGCACACGCACAAAATCATAAAAACCTTTTTAATAAAATGTTAAAATGGTTTTTATATTGCGTGAAATTGAAAAAGATTTTTCAACAGACAAAATTAAACTTAAAAATCAAAACGTGGAACGAGAAAAACGAACGAGAGAAAGAAAAAAAATTTAAAATGGTTTCCATTTTGTATTTTTTTTTTTTTTTAATGTCGTGTCGCACGAATTTTATAAATAAAAAAAAAAAAAAAACAAAATGGTTTCGCATTTTACAAATAAATGATAATGATAATGATGATGATGATGATTGGGATGTCAATGATTATGAATGACGGCGATTATGAAAAAAATTTTTCTTTTTAATATTGAATTTTATAACCGTTACACGTTAAGATGGAAAATTGAAAAAAAAAAAAAAAAAAATTTTTAACCTTTTGACACGCGTAAATGAAATTCCATTTTTCTTTTTCTTTTCCTTCTATTTCTTTTCTCACTCATGACGTTTTTTTTTGTAAAGAAAATAGAAATACGGAAAAGGAAATAATAATACAAAACACGAATTTCAAACTTTATAGAAATGAAAGAAATTTTTTTTTTTTGGTTGTTATCTACGACATTCTTCTTATTGTGCCTTTTTTTTTGTTAGCACATTTGGCACAAAAAAAAAAAACTTGACCTTTTTTTCATTTTCCAGACCGTTTCAAGTTTATCATTTCCTTTTTTTTTTTTTAAAAAAATTAAAAACTTTTTTGAAAAATGAGAAAATTATTATCCCAAGTACATATTTTTTTTTGTTCAAAATTTTTTTTT